TGGGCGCTGGGCCCTGCACCACCCTGCCCTCCAGGGCGGGGGATCCGCAGGTCTGTCCCCCAGGCGGTCACCGCTTCGCCCAGAAAGGCCCCGCCCCATAAAGACAGGCGGGGAGAGCGAGTGCGTTCCTCACCGGGGCCTGTTCCGTCGCCGTGTGTCTCACATTTAGATTTTTAAACTTATTTAGGAACACAGTTCCCACCACCAGACACTTTCCAGACCCTTGTGATCTGCGGAGCCAATTGGACTAGAGTCTCCTCCCGCTCCTGAGTAAACCCAGGCCCCGGACCTCAGCGCCGGCCACACCTTCCCGGGGACCTGACCATCGGGGAGGGGACAGATGAGAAGCCGTGATCCGTTCACCAGGGGGAGATGCCCGTTCTTTCTGGGGCGAGCACAGCTGCGAGCCCGACACCCCCAATTCTCCGTGACTTTGCACCCCCACTTGCGCCCCGAAGTGAGCGTGGCGCACACTCATTGCGTCCATAGGGATGCTGCCCGGCTCTGCTGTGCATCAGGCAAAAGGCTGGAGACACCACGTGTCCGATCCCCGGGTCAGCGAATGGCTCAGGGGAGACGAAAGCTGTCACGGGCCCGGCCGGGAAGGTCATGGGGGCAGACACGCGCACCCGGTAGACGCGGGCCTGGCAGCATGGCCAGGCAGGACCCGCTGGGTTCCGGGGTCCACACTTACACGTGTACGTCCAGGGAGGGGCGACAGCGACGCCCGAGATAGTGACCCTGCGGTGAAGCTGTTCCCTCCGGTTTATCTACACGCGTCATGTTTTTAAAGGAGCATTATTTCCCGAGGAAAAGAAGACGGACTGAAAAGCCCAATTCAGTCGGATGACGGCAGCAGCGAGAGTCTGAACAAGGACCAAGTCGTGCAGAAAAGCAGGCTGTTCTGCTTGGAAGGGCTGGCCCTGGGCACACTCCCCGGAGGCCAGCGCCAAAGCCGCCCGCACTGAGGGGCACACGGGACGGCTCCAGTCGCCAGAGGAGGACAGCACCGCAAGGAGAACACAAATCCGACCGGGAGACACCGGCACACACGGTCCCCGAGCCTGCATCAGACAGCAAGGCCCCCGCAGGGCCAGGCCCGGGCCTTGACCTCGGGCAGGAGCAGCCTCGTGGGCGCCTACAGAAGCCTCTCTTCGTGGCCCCGGGTCTGCGGCGGCGAGATACGCAGAGCGCTGGGAAGCACACATTGACTTATATCAAAATAAAGCCCTCGCCGAAACCGGTTTGGCTCAGTGGATAGAGCGTCGGCCTGTGGACTGAAAGGTCCCAGGTTCGATTCCGGTCAAGGGCATGTACCTGGGTTGCGGGCACATCCCCACTGGGAGATGCGCAGGAGGCGGCTGATCGATGTCTCTCTCTCATCGATGTTTCTGACTATCTCTCTCCTTTCCTCTCTGTGAAAAATCAATAAAATATATTTAAAATAAATAAATAAATAAATAAAGCCCTCGCCACCCCCCCACAGAGCGTCTGTACATCAACGAGAAGAAAATGACAGAAAAGGGGAAATCCCCGTGGCCTTTAAAATATATAAAAAGAAGCTCAATTTTAAAGAAGGACAAAAAAATAAATAAATAAAAATTACAAAACACACACAAAGAGAGAGAGAAAAGACGCTTAAATTTGTTCATGGAAGTAATGCTGGGTAAAATCACAATGAGATACTATTTCTCACCCACCGGCCTGGCAAAATCCAACAGTTACAGATCCTCCTCTATTGGCAAGACCGGGAAACAAAGGCCCTTGGACGTCGTTTGTGGGAATGTGAATTGGTCCCTGCCCCGCCCCCATGGAAGACAATTTGAGCAGCATCCGTCAAAATTATAAATGTATATGCCCTTGGGCCCAGCAACACCACTGCTAGGGATTTATTTTATAGACACTTGCTCAGGAGTGAAATGAGACCAGCGAGTTAATTTGCAACACAGTATGTCATCATGAAATACGGACAACAATCCAAATGTCCAAGCACAGAAAATGGGTTAAAGAAGTTGTCAGCCGCCCATCCGGCGTGGCTCAGTGATTGAGCTTCAACCTACGAACCAGGAGGCCACGGTTTGATTCCCAGTCAGGGCACATGCCTGGGTTGCGGTTCAGTCCCCAGTGTGGGGCATGCAGGAGGCAGCCGATCCATGATTCTCTCCCCACATTGATGTTTCTCTCATCATTGATGTTTCTCTCTCTCTCTCCCTCTCCCTTCCTCTCTGAAATCAATAAAATTTAAAACAACAACAACAACAAACTAAAACCCTTAAAAAAAAAAAAGTGGCCGTCCATCTACCCAGTGGAATATTACACAGCTGGAAAAATGGACTGGTCAGGACTAAAACAGTCAGGTAAGACCCTTTGAAAATTCACCCTTTAATAAAAGCAACAACAACAGAAACGATCAGAATCAACTTTTCCAAAATTCTGGAAATTAACCAGAGACTTGCAGCAGCCTGGGGAGTATATTCAAGAAGAATGAGTCTTGGGAGGAACAGCACGTGCAGGGGCGGCTGAGGGACAAGAGGAGAACGGGACTTCTCACTAGGAATATCCTGGTATGTTTTCATTGTGGAATCACACAAATGTACTCCTACTCCAAAAATTACATTTAAAACAAAATTAGTAAAATAATAAATTTAAAAAGAATGTTTACAAAAAAAGGCTGTGCCCCAGCTGGGTGCTCAGTTGGTGAGTGTTGTCCCAAAGCGCCAAGGTTGTAGGTTCAGTTCCAGTCAGAGCACATACAGGAATCAGCCAATGAAGCCAGATAAGTGGGACAAGCCGATGCTTCTCTCTCCCTTCCTTTCTCTATAAAGTTAATAAGTAAGTAAAATACTTTTTAAAATGAAGGCTGGAGCCCAAGTCTGATCAAACCTCTGGATCGTTACTGATTGGCGGGACGGCGAGGTGCTGAGGCCCGCAGACACACTCAGCAAGCCCCAGGTCGTGGGGAATTCTCCCAACGGAAACTGTTCAGAAAAGAAAGGCAAGGACGGGAAGCTCTGGACAAGATGGAAGAAATCCAAGGAGTCCCGGCCGGTGTGGCTCAGCGGGTGGGAGCCGCTCCTTCTGCGGGCAGACGCCAGCCCGCACCCGACTACAGCTCTGCCCCTCCGGCCTCCCGACAGCCTCCCAGCCAAACACTCATCCCGAGACCCAAGGAAATGACTCTAAAAATAGAAAAACGCTCCAGCACCAGGATGCTGAGAGCACTTTCCTTGGAAGAGTGACTAATTAGAGAGGAGCTAATTATCCCACAGCAGGGGGGGGGGGGCGTGACAGCAACGCCACACCATTAACATGTCGGGTCTGGAAGCACCAGGGCCAGATGCCTTCTGGGGAAGGGGGCGGAGGGGAGCGTAAAGCAGGCCCGTAGTCATGGCAGCTACAAGGCCTCGGGGCGGGAGCGGGACACCAGCGAGCCCTCTGGCCGGCGGGGACCGGCTGTTTTCCCTTCTCCTGCTTCTCCTTCTCTGAACTGCACAGACTTCCTGGGATGAACAGAAAGGACACCCTTACCTTTAGCTGAATTGTTGTGTTAACCAATTGCTGTAAAATTGATCCAGGGCTTTGGGGTGAGTGTGCAGGTGTGTCCAGGTTTCGCGTCTGGTCCCCTCTGCCTCTCACACCTCCGTCCAGGACCCTGATCTGACCAAGCAAAGCATCCACCCCAACACGTGATGGGCAGTGGGTGATGAGTAGTAGGTGATGGGCAGTGGGTGATGGGCAGTGGGTGACGGCACACCTCGGCTACCCCCCGGGGCTGGGCCGGGGTCACCGAGATGGGAAAGGTCGTAGTGCCCTGCCCAGAGGACCACACAGCTGCTTGGTTCTCAAAACCAAGTCCACTTTATTTGAGACTCCACATGCCACAAATGTACATGAAAGTAACAAAATGTAGTTTAAACACAAACTCAGGAGCAGCATCACCAGAGGACACGGTCTGGCATCGAAAGGCAGGTGACACATAGTCATTTAGCACCTGGTCACACACAAACTGTGGGACCCCCGTGGCTAACCCAGCCCCTTAGGCTCAACTGTTTCTGGTCAGAGTCACACTCTGATGGGCAGTGGTCGGAGGTACGGCTGGTGCCAGGGCTGGCAATGCCCGAGGCCTGCAGGGCGTCACATGTTGCGTGCACACCCACCTGTGCAACAAGCACCCACCTGTGCGGATGCACCCGGCCGCAGGTGAGCACAGCAGGGGCCTCGGCTCCCCATTAAAGACGTGGCAGGGTCAGCACAGCAGCATCCCTCCCTCTGACCCACTGGCCAGACCCTGGCCTCAGCTCCGTGACCAAGCATGGCAGGCGAGCAGCCCATGGCCACCGTGTCCCCAGGTCCACGGGGCCGGGGGGAGCGCCACAGGGGCGCTGCCCTGTGACTGTCACCAAGCCCCACACTTGAGAGCTTTAGAAAGAGCGTTGGAAAGTGGATCGTTTCGATGACACTGTGGTCTGTGTCAGACCCACAGTTTTGTTTTTAAATGTCTGTGGGTTATTTGTTCATCGTGCCCAGTGGACTGACACTACTAGTTAGAATCCTGCATCCCAATGCAAATGGGACGGTGGCCATCGGAGGGGCCGGGCCCTCCCTCACAGTCCTGTCCCTTCCCTGCAGGACTCGGGCGAGGCCATGAGAACTGTGGGTGCTCACACCCCACCCACGGCTCCCTCGCCTCACTGTTTAGGCTGAAACCCTGCCAACGGCCAGGCTCCCTCAGCCAGTAACTTCCTTCCTTACAAGGTCTCCGCAAATCTCAAATCCTAACGGAGCCAGTAGTGAGGCCAGGGCAGCAGGAGGCTGCGCTGCCCCAGCACCATGAGGCCCCGAGGGGGCCATCAGGGCGGGGCCTCCAGGCCTGGACTCCAGGACGTGGGACGATCAGGGCCAATGCACTGGTTCAGGCCCCGGGGCCCGCTCCTCCCCTTTCAGCCCAGGTCCCTCTCTGTCCCCTCGTGATTAAGGGGGTGTGGGCCTGGCGTCCAGCCGCCGAGCTGCGCCTCCCCAGCCAGGGCGCCCACTGACCCTCCGAGGCCTGGACCAGAGGCCCTGGGCCTGCTCCTCCTGCCCTCGGGAGGGCAGCTGAGAGGCGGGGAGAGAACCCCGCTGTATGAAAGGGGGTGTCCGCAGTCGGCCTCCTGGGGCTGGGACACTGACAGGTGAAGAGGAGAAAGCCCCAGAACAGAGAGGGGCGGGTCTCTGTGTCCCTCAGGCTCCAGCTGCCTCAGGAGCACCTGCAGGCCTGTGGCAGGAGGTGGCCTTGGGGTGGGTCTCCCTTTAACAAAGGCATAAATGCCAGACCCGCCTTCCTCCATCCCTCTCCTCCCACCCCATCGGGTTCTTACACACACACATACCCTGCACACGAGTGTGCACACATGCACACACTTGATCATACACAGAGCTGGGGACACATATGCACGCACACGCCATGCACACGTCACTGTGGACTACAGTACAGGTGTACGCAGACATGCACGCACACACGCCGGAGCTGACCAGGCAGCATATGGTCCGCTGCTTAACAGCCCAGCCCTGCCGATCGGGGGCCATTAGGGGGGGTTCCTTTCCCTCGTCAAATGCTGCAGAATAGAAATTGCAATTAACAGCGGTGCCAAAACAGCACTTAGCGAGAATAAGCGCCTTCTCAGCATCTGGCGAGTCCCGCCTCGGGGCAGGGGTGGCGCAGTCTTGCTCCAAGTGAGGCTGGTGCAGGGGACACACAGCACAGGCCTCCCGCTGCCCCACCCTCCGCGAGCGGCCCCTCCGGCATCTGTCAGCATAAACGACGTCACTGGGTAAAAACACTGCCTGCTCATGAGACCACCACCCCGGCGAGAGCGAGGGGCAGGCACACGCCGCAGCTCGGGACCCGAGTCCGGGCTCTGGATGAAAGGAGGCCTGGCCTGCGGGTCCCAGACGGCCAGGCCACCTGCCTTCCTCCTGGGCTGTGCCCATTCTTCCTGACCATCCTCGCAGGGTGGCCTCTAGGGCCACCTGAAAGGAATCCCAGAAATTGGGGAGAGGGTGCCCCCCCTCCCCCAGATCTTCATCTACTGCAGTAGATGAGGCAGACAGGAAGAGACAGGGCCCAGTGTTGCTCCTGGGCTGGGTCAGGACCTGAAGGTGAGGCTGCAGGCCTGGTGGGGGGCCTGCTGAGGGCAGGCAGAGCTGCCAGAGCTGCTGGGACCGAGGAAGATCCTGGGGGAGGCCTGTGCACCCCGGGCTGGGCCCACGGGCCTCCTGCAGCCTCCACCACTGCAAGGCCCCCGGGACCCTCGCCAGGCGGATGGGGCTGCTGAGCTGTTTGCCCTTTGCGACCCCAGGAAAGGGCATGGGAAGATACCAAGGGGCCAGGTCCCCGGTCCTTTAGCAGCAGGTAAACTGCGGGATGCACAACACGGAATGGGGGTGTCTATCACCATGGAAACAGGGTGGGAAAACAACCGAGCTGAGGGCCAGGATGGGCAGTGGAATGTGGGCAAGGCCTTGTGGGCCCTGCACCCCAAGCCCAGAGGGAGAGGGAGGTGGGTGGGTCAAGCCCAGCTCGGGGAGCCGCCCTGCCCAGCAATGCCCAGTTGGAAGGTCTCGCGGTGGAGAAGGTGGGCGCCCGCACACGGGCAGGCGGGCCGCGTGTGTGGAACACGCATGGAGCTTGTTAGTGCCGAGAACAGCTGGCTGCAGTGGGGTCATGCGATCATCCTCTGGCCTCAACACTCTCGTTTCCTAATGAAGCCACAGCCACCTGTTTCCCTAGAACCATAGGCTCCCGAGGGAACTGCCGCCTGAATGCCGGCCCGCCCAGCACCCTGGCCCCAGGGGCCCTGCCTGGCCTGGCCCTGCCCTGGGTGACGTCATCTGACCGGAAGCGCACTGGACACTGGCGGGTGAAACGTGTCTTACAGGGCAGGAGCGCCCACACCTGCAGCCCCCAACCTGCGGGCTCCTTGCTGCCCAGCTCACAGGGACCGAGGGCAGGCTCGCTGGGGTGGGGGTGGCCACCCAGCTCTGAGCCCCAGGCTCCCCTCCACGTCGGCAGGTGACCAGGAACCTGCGAGCAGAGGGACACTCTTGGGGGTTGAAGCGAGGGGCAGCGCTGGGGACCTGGTCAGAGCCCCAAGAAATCAGGGCGCCGCATTCGTGTCCAGGTGAAAAACGCCCGGCCAGGCCCGAGTCGCTGGCCGCAGGCTCTTCCCGCCTGTGCTCAGTCACAGCCCAATCCACTGAGTCCTCCCAGGCACGGGAGCCCGGACGGCAGGTGGCAGAGGCTGCCTTCCTCTGTGCCCACCCCGGGGTCCCGGGTCTGCGGACAGGTGGCGAGCACCGTGGCGGCCCAGGCAGAGGCGGAGGCCACACGGCCACCGAGCAGTCCCGCGTCCTCGGCCACGGAAACCACAGGCCGCGGTGGGAGACTGGCTGTCCCTTCACCACCACAGGTTGGGCGGCTCCTCGGCCACTCGGCTCTTAAACAAGGTGATCTCGTCCAGGTGCACCATGGGGACATCCCGGATGACGTCAGTCAGGCCCTCGTGCAGCAGGGGGAAGATGACGACGTTCAGCGCGGGCCGCTCGGCCTGGAAACTGAACCAGAAGCAAGGTGTGAGCAGGGCCGCGAGGCGCCTCGGGAGGCAGCCACCGCGGGTCATGGGCTCCGTGCATCCACCTGACTCTCCCACTCCCAGGTGATGCAGAGATGGGCCTCAGCCCTTCCTGCGGGGGCTGGAGGAGAGGCCCGAGGGGCAGGCAGGGGGAGCCTGGCCTGGGGGAGGTGGTCACGCTGCGTGCGGCGCCCCGTGGGTCTGGCAGAGGAATGGAGGCCCAGAGGCCAGCCTGTAGGACAGCCCCTGCTTTCCTGGGCAGAGGGAGGCGGGTGTCCCAGGCGGGGGAGTGACGTACCTGCAGGGGCTGGAGAGGGACAAGGGCCAAACCCCCCCCACCCTGGAGGGGTACAAACTCCCAAGGCAGGTGAGGCAGCAAATCTTCCAGGACAGGAAACAAGGCAGCCGCTGGGAGCCAGCAGCTGTCACATCACTCCCTGCACTGCACCCCGGGTCCCCTCCCAGCAGGAGACAGAGTCGAGCGTACCGTGTCCGAGGGGCCTTGGCAGGCCGGGCACTGTGCTAAATGCCAGCAGACACTCCGTGTTGCCTTCTGCGTGGCCCGCACAGCGAGAAGTGGGCTTGGGAAAGTGACACCCAGGCCACAGGCCCGCAGCCGGTCCAAGCAGAGTGCCCCCGGCCCCCGTCAGACTGGGGCCAGCCACGTGCAGCTGCCCAGAGACAAAACCAAGTGCCCCCTGGAGCTCAAAGAGAAGGGGGGACGCCGTGGACCTCCAGGAGTGAGAAAAGACACCCAGAACCTCAGGTCTCAGGCGGCAAGAGGCGGGACGAGCCACACAAAGGGAACCTGGGCATTTGCCCAACAAGCCAGGCCCCCACCGGCGCCTGCTCCACGGAAGGAGGAACCCGTCCCAGCCCCCACAGGCCCCAGCACTGGGTTAACGACCGTGTAAAGTCGGTGCCCGGAAAGACTCATAAAACTTGATGTTTGGGCAATAAAGACACTGAGGAAGTGCCTCCCAGCCCCGCGCATGCTGTTCTGCACGCGGCAGCGCTGTGTGGCCGTGAACCCGTGGCACGTCCTTGCCTGCAGCCGCCGCGCCCCTGGCCACACTTGAAAGGGAATATGCTCCGAGGTGGGACCTGGTGCAAAGGCCCCTGCACGTGCGCGCACGCGCGCACACACACACACACACACACACACACACCCGGGCTGTGAGGCGCTGTCAGTGTGCTAAAGGGGATGGGATGGATTTCTCAGCTAAAGCCAGGAAGGCAGTGGCTGCAGCCCCTCCCGCTCTGGGCCGCACCTGCCCAGGTGGCCAGAGGCACTCGGGGACTGCGCAGAAGGGCACTGGGTGGAGGTGCCACCCCCGGATGAAAGACACTTCCCTCCGAAGGCTATCCCTTCAGTTCGCACCTGGATGAACCTGGCCTGGGTCAGACCCAGCCAACGCCCAGGCCTCCTGTCCCCACTCAGAGGCGGGCTTTGCAGACTGAGGCCTAGTCAGTGACAAGACAGCGAGGAAGACGCAAATGCGGAGGAAGGAGTCGCTCACTTCCCCGTGCAGGGCTGGGGCCCCCGGGAGGGCGTGTGCGGGCCTGTGCTCTGTGGACTCTGCTGTGTAACTCACATACGTGTTCAATTGTGCTTTTGCGTGACTCAAATGTCGTCTGAGGTTTAAGTAAACAGATTCCATGAGATAAAAAAACTCATTAGAAGCTGGGCTGGTCACTGCGTGGGGACTCGGGACCTGATCCCCAATGGGGCTAATCGCATCTCAAACGGCCTCTGGCCTGGAGTCACCTGGGAGCTGACAGTGACCCCCCCAGGCCTCCTGGCGTACCCCCAGGCCCAGCCTCGCGCTCGGCTGCTCTGGGCTGTGCCCCCAGGGCTGTCACTTAGGGACCAGAAGCAAAGCCTACAGACCCAGCACGAAGAGGCACAGGGTCTGCCCTCTGATGCTGAAACCAACACCCGGAGCTCGGCCGCCTGCTCCCACATGGGGCGAGGCAGCAAGACGGGACCGAGGAGGGGCAAGAGGAGACCCGGGGAGGTCACCCAGGGGTCACGGTTGACCGGCAGAAAGGCCGTCCCTCAGGAGAGCCTGAGGGAAGCGAAAGGGCTCTGCGCTGGCGGCTCCTGCCCGAGGCCCGTCAGCGCACCGGGAGTTTAACGCCGCCCTGAGCACCCAGGGAGCGGACAAGCTCCACCTGAGGAACACTTACTGGTCTGCTTCTCTGCCTGGGAACTGGAAGCAAAATTAAAGTTGACAGCCTCTTCCCCCCAAATAAAGGTCTTATGGAAAAGCCAAAGTCATAGGAAATGTTATGCAAGGCATTCGCTGTAACAACGAAACTCAAGAAGCTCTGAGGTGGATGGTGGCCAAGAATCCCACAGCCTGTCCCAGCTGGTTTGGCTCTGATTCGAACGTTGGCCCACAGACCAAAGGGTCACAAGTTTGGGTCCCAGTCAAGGGCACGTACCTCAGTGGCAGGCTCGATTCCCAGCCCAGGTAATGGTGTGGACGGCAACCAATTGGTGTCTCTCTCACATCAATGTTTCTCTCCCTCCCTTTCTCTCTCTCCTTTCCTCCCTCTCACCTCCTCCCCCCTTCCACTTGCTCTAAAAATCAATGGAAAAATATCCTCAGGTGAGGATTTAAAAAAAAAAAAAGGATCCCACAGCCAGCCTTGAACTCCCAGAATGCAGCGCGATGCTGCCTAGGGAGGCGGCACCGTGCTGTCCAGACTCTTGCTTTTCCTGCTCTCCTCCGCTCTGTGGCCGGCAGGCAGGGAGCAGGCAGGGAGCAGGCAGGGAGCAGGCAAGGAGCAGGCAGGAGCAGGCAAGCCTGAAGCTCTGGTTCCCGTGAGCCAGGGCGCCACCTGCTGGCACTCGCAGGACAGCAGCGGGCACCTCCCTGCGCTGCAGCCAAGGCCTCAGGGCAGGGGGCAGGGGCCCAGGCCTGAAAGTGCAGGTGGGCCTGCAGGTCCCCCGCAGGATGGATGCCAAATGGCATTTAGAAAGGTCATCTGGAGCTTTACTGATTGACACAAAAAACCCATGACGTAGCGTTAAATCAAAAAATCAGACGATGAAAACTGCATGAGAGCCCATCGCGGTCCGCAGGCCGCGGGGCCCTCCGCTTGGTGGAACCGCGGGAGCCTTCACTTAAAAATAGCTTGACGCACAGCCTACACTTTCAGAAATATTATCAACACACAGTTTTACAGCCAGGGAGGGGGAACCTTTGCCAGGGTTTCTCCTGGACAATTTAGCAGCAAACCGCCAAGGAAACAGGCCTAGTGTAGCCGCTGGCCGGCCAGGCCCCGGCTGAGGCCCCGTGGGATTCTGAGAGCAGCTGGGCCTCCTCCCTGTCCCTCCCCACCAGCGGGAACACAGAGCTGGAGCAGGAAGTGCCACCGTCCCGGCCACGCGGCAATGAGGGTGCCCACCCTCAGCCTCCCCCGGGGGTGCAGGGGAAGCTCCTCTCCAGGAAGCGCACTCGGCCTCCCGATTCTGGGTGCTCGCCGAAGACCGGCGCCTCCCCGGGGAACGGGGCCCTGGTGCAGGTGCAGCAGGTAAGGGCCTCACAGAGGCCTGGGGGAGACGCAGCGCCAGGAGGACAGTTGTTTTGTGGCTGCTGTTGTTTAAATATATTTTTACTAGAGGCCGATGCACGGACTCGTGGGAGAGTAGCCCTCGCAGTCCTGGCTGAAGCCGGTATTTCTGCTGTTCAGTCGATTTGCATATTACACTTTTATTATTATAGACTGATTTCAGAGGAGG